TTCATATGATATTTCAAATACACAAATTGACAAAAAAACTTTTGTCAGACTGTGTGTTCTATCTTTTGATTCAGTAAGCATGATCCCTGTAAAGGGAAAGGCATCCTAAGACTGAAGACTTTGGGGGTGAGGAATAGTGTTCCTTTTAGGAGTGAGTAATGGATCCAATCTCTAAACATTATTCCTTGTCATAGGTGATAAAGAATATGTCCTCTTGCTGTATAACAAACACTCCAAAACTTCGTGGCCTAAAACAGCAATCACTGCTCATAATTCTATGGGTCAGGAATTTGGGTTGGTTTAGGTGGGAGGTTTTCATTGGCTGCGGTTATCTGGTGGCTTCGGTGGAGCTGTATGGTCTAAAATGGTCTCATTCACCGGGTCTGGCATTTGGTGCTTGCCATTGGCTGGGCCATGTGTCTGCATCAGACTAGCCTATGCTTCATCACGTAGCAGCAGCATTGTGGAAAGGCAAATCCCAACACATGAACCCTTTCCACACCTCTTTTTGCATCATGTTTGCTGATGTCCCCTTGGTCAGAGCAAGTCACATGGACAAGCCTGTGTTTGATGTGGGAGGGAATGCCACAAGGGACAGGAAACAAGGAGGTATGATTATCTGGGGGCCTAACACTGTTACAGCTGGCCACAACCTGTCATCAACACAGTTCTCTATCGCACTAGAACTGACACCTGATTCACCTAAAAGGTAAATCAAGTTGTGTTGTAGGTATGAATTTAAAAGAAAGTGTGAGAAAGCAATATGAGAAGGATGGCATCTGTTATGTAAAGAGGGTTATTGGCCATGGATGTTAGCAGTAGTATAATCATATAAACTCAAAGAAACATTAATTGTTCTTGACCTCCATCAAGAATGTTCAGATGATTGGATATTTGATGATATTAAAAAATTATTTTAAGTAGGGCGATGGTACGGTAGTTATGTTTTTTAGAAATTTTTACCTTTTAGGGATATATATTGAAATATTTACAGACAAAATGGTATCTGGAATTTACTTTTAAAAAATCTGGTTTAGGGTCGGGGGCAGGGAGCAGCGTGGAAATGAGATAAGATTGGCCAGGAGTTAGTGATCATTGAACTACTGTGGGGGAGGAGCATATTACAGCCTATAGTCTTCTCCAGATTTTGTGTATGAGAATTTCCACAATGAAAAGTGAGAAAGACTGTTCAAAAATCAAAACTGGAACTACCATCTGATCCAGCAATCTCACTTCTGAATATTTATCCAAAATAATTGAAATCAGGATTTCAATCCCATGTTTATTGCGGCATTATTCACAATGGCTAAGATGTGGAAACAACCTCGATGTCCATCAGTGGATGAATAGATAAAGAAAATGTGGTATACCCATGCAATAGAATATTACTCAGCTTTTAAAAAGAAGGAAATCTTGACATTTGCTACAACATGGATGGCCCCGGAGGACATTATGCTAAGTGAAGTAGGCCAGTCACAGAAGGGCAAATCCTGCATAATTCCACTTGCATGAAATATCTAAAATAGTCAAACTCATAGAAGCAGAGAGCAGAATGGTATTTGCCTGGGGGGGGGAGGGGAGGAAAGGGGAGAAATGGAACATTGCTAATCAACAAGCATAACATTTAGTAATGCAAGAGGAATAAATTCTAGAGGTCTGCTGTACCGCATCCCTATAGTTAACAATATTATTACCCTTAAAATCTGATAAGAGGATAGGTCTCATGTTAAGTGTTCTTACCACAATAAAATAAGAAGAAAAATTTTATTAAAAGTTAAAAAGAATGTTCAGATCATTCAGTGGCCTCAAAGACTGGTAGAAGTTGTCACAGATGCCAGCTTACACTGTTCCTAACTGCTTTCTCGGTTAAGTGGGGGTGTGCGAACCATCAGGGCTGGATTCTGGACCCTACTTGCTCCTTGCCTAGGTTTTAGTTTAAAAGCAGTGTTCTACATTTAATAGAGTTAGAAGGTATGTGATGAGAGGTCCAATAAATGAATGACTCTGTCACTTGGGAGAGATTAGAGATCTTTCAGGACAGGCTCTATCTCACTTTGTGTTCCTGTGGAGGACGCTCATTGCGCTCGTATTTAATTAGATCTGACCAAGATTCTGAATAAGCCTGTGTTAAGAGCTGTTCTCTCCGGGTGTTTTCTAGTTCCTAGTGTTCTTGACTCTAAGCTGTAGTGTTCCCTAGGATCTGAAGAATTTGGAAAAGCCACCATAGCCCTGTGTGTGCAAGTCTCTCTTCCTGTCATCCCCTGGCACTGGTGACTCTAGAATTCTTATTATAAAAACAAAACCAGGAGTGAACAACACTCCCTAATTTCATGTTACATTGTCCCTGACTGCCAAGCCCAAGGCTCTACTTTGGATCTACTGGGATTCTGTGACCCCATTCACTTCTCCCATGTCCTTTTATTTTTTTAAGTAGATAGATGTTTTATCAAGTATCTGAACTTTAGAAAGCTCCAACTGAATTCTGTTTTATGGTGTTGCCTTGATAAATTTTGCAGATTTTTCTTTTCATTTAAACTTTTCTGATTGTCTCTATCTTCCTTGACAAAGGACAATTAGAGTGGATTTCACTTCATGCACAGTCTGTGTGCCTCTCTGAAAGGAAACTGTGAGCAGAATGTTATTTGATCCTTGGATCGTTGAAGTTAGACAAGGAATTAGAAATATCTGAGATCCACTTTAGCCCCTAATCTTATCATTCCAAATGTGTGCTTAATAAGAAGCAGAATCAACACTTTGGGTCAGAATAAGTTCAAATGGTCTAGAATTTTTATATATAGAAATGAAAAAAAGAATAATTGGCTAGAAATACTTAAAAATGCTTTCCTTGGTTAGGTGTGTGATTATTCTCAAACTTTTCCTATGGCTTGCCATTTAAAGTTTTAAAGTCGAGATGACACATGTGATGAATCAAATGCATAATTTCTTTTTTAGTTCTTACAGTTACAGTAAGAAGGGGGATATTTCTGGGAACTAGAACTTCCATTGAGATTTTGTAAAGATAGAACTTTAGGTGAATTCTTGTCAACTCTTGCTTCGATCGTCCCAAAACTGTTTGGCTAATAAATTCTAGGGGGATAAAATAGTCAAACAATTATTAAATTGTCTTTGCACATCTGAGAGTTTGTTATAAGATGTATTTGGTATGTAGCTACAAGAGTTTCCAGTAAATTGATCTTAAGCAAAAGCTTGAGCTGGAGAAAACAGGGTCGGGCAGATAAAGGTGGATGCACTCTTGGTGAATAGGCCATGTGTCTCAGGTGCCGTGCACTCGGATGACGGTGGCCAACCTGGCCTTGCCTCCGCCAAGCTCATCTTGCTAGATGAACACAGGTGTGAAAGCTTTGGACATGAGGGCGATTGATTTTACAATAGCCAGGTTTTCCATTGATAGGTGATATTAAAGCCATATGGGATAGTTAGTTATCTGGGTCTTTATATTACTTCTCCACTCTCCCACATGGCAGGATTGGGTTGTGAAATGTGACTGAGCATCCATAAGCCTGGAGAGCTTGCACATTTGGCGACTTGGGACTATGTGACTCCGTGGTTGCCAAGTCAGAAAAGCCTGCTGGATGTGGTTGAGCCTGGCCCACCTGGGCCATGCAGTGGCCCAACCCACCAGTTCTAGGTGATGGAAGAATTTATGGGCATCCTAGGCTACCACACCTTTGGGCATGGGTAGGGGAAGGGCAGTCATATTTATTGAGGACCAGCCACAGGGAAGACCCTACTCTGGATGCTTTATACAAGTTATTCTCATCACAAATCTGCAAGTGCAATACTGTTATCTTCATTTGGTGAGCTTGAGAAAGTGCAGGTAATTTGCCACAGGTCATACCTGGTTGGTGGCACAGCCAGCTTGCACACAAAGTCTAGTCAACACCAAAACTTGTGCTCTTTTTACTGTCCAGTTTTAGAGAATGTAGACGGAAAAAATTAAGCGAGAAATACAGATGAGTATAGTCCATGGCTAGGAAGAGTGTGCAAGGATAAGGAGCAGAGCTGGCTGCCAGAAGTGAGTTGGAGAGTAATGAAAAAAACAGTGAGTTTCGATGTGAGGTAGAAAGAAAGCAGTGGATAGGATCCGGGATAGAGCGAGAGTAAGAGATGGACAAGCTGGGTATCTGCAGAGGGCGCCCGCTAGGGCCAGGACTAAAACATCTCCCTGGAAAAAGGCACGGGGTGTCAGGGTATGGTGCCATTCAGCTCAGGTTTCCCCATGAACGCTGAAGTGGCTAAGTTCAAGCGAGTTATTCTTCTGCACAAATATGCATCACTCTTAAGAGGAAACTTTAAAAAATAAATACTTTATCCTGGGAGTCAATTCTTTTTCTGTTGCATGTCTCTGTCATCTGCATTTACAGGCTTCTAGTGTAAGATCAGCTTCCACCCCAAGCCTGAGAGCAGGCTGCAGAGGGCAGCCTTACAGTGCAGCCTCTGCCAGCTGAGATTCTGAAATCGAGCAGTGCCTATGCCACGCTAACCCTCTCAGAAAGACTTACGGGTGAGGCCAGTTCCTGCTCACCTGGCTCTCGCGGCTCTTGCCTCCTTTGTGCTCTTCTGAGCACCCTCTTTGGGAAAGCAAGCTAAGGGTGATCAGGAACTGGCCGCCTGTAGGCTTCTGGAGGAACTGGGGCTCCTGGACCAGAACAGCCAAGGGTGGCCAAAAAGAGAGGAGACCCAGGGAGTGGCAATGCTGTGGTCCAGGCTAAATTAGATCCCGTCTAATTACAGAATATTTACTCATGATATGGTCGCTCCTTCCGTGTCCATTTGCTGAAAGAATACACAGGAGCAGCACCTTGGAGCGCGCGGACTGTGCGCTGTGGTGCATGAGGCTGCGCTGTGAAGCTGAGGCCTGCAGTTTGGGAAGAGGGTGGTAAACCCTCCTTGGGGCCAGCCGGAAATGCAGTCACAGCCAAAGTCTGTGAAAGGATGTTAACCCTGACCTCGCATTTGGGCGTGTTCTGCTTTTTCAGGTGGCGCTCAGGCACGAGGATGGCGACGAGACAGTGGAGCCGCCTCCCAGCGGGCGCCGGGACCGCAGGAGGGCCAGCGTGTGTTCCAGCAGCGGGGGCGAGCACCGCGGCCTCGACCGCAGGCGGAGTCGCAGGCACTCGGTGCAGAGCGTCAAGAGTCCCCTGTCGGCTCCCACCAGTCCCTGCTCCCAGTCGGCTCCCAGCTTTAAGTCCGGTCAAGTGCAGAACCTGCGTGAAAAGTAAGCATTAACCCAGCAGTGGAGCAGGGATACGCGGAAAACAGGGAGGGAGGCCACAGTGTCACCGATGTGCACTACCACGTACTCCCACTGGCCAGTTAGTCCCCCTGGCGTTGCTCCCTGCCTCTTCTCTCCCATTAAACCACCACCCAAAAATCCCAGGGGAACTTCCCGTGCAAGGTGGCCACTGGTGACATGCACAGACTTGATGTTACTGACACCATGAACTCTTTGTCAGCACCTGGCTTTTACTGTTATTTAATAGCTTAGTTTCTGTGTTCAGAAAAGCTGTACTTTGTACTTTGTATTTTTGTACTTTGTCAAATGGAAAAGAATCCAAAACACAAAACTTTGGCCTAGATTTAAATAATCGGTATGCCACTACAGAAATGTGACATTGTGGAGTGGGCATAATGAGACGTGCTTGGCATCTCAGCTACTTGGGAGGCTGAGATGAGAGGATTGCTTCAGGCCAGGAGTTTGAGACCAGCCTGGGCAACATGATGAGAACCTATCTCAAAAAAAAAAAACAGGCCAGGTGCAGTGGCTCACACCTGCAATCCCAGCACTTTGGGCAGTCAAGGTGGGAAGTTAGCTTGAGGCCAGAGTTCAGCGCCAGCCTGGGTGACAAAGCAAGATTCCAGCTCTTAAACAAACAGACAAAAAATTAGCTCGGTGTGGTGGCATGCACCTGTAGTCCCCGCTACTCAGAAGGCTGAGTGGGAAGGATGGCTTGAGCCCCGGGGTTCGGGGCTGCAGTAGGCTATGATTGCGCCACTGCACTCCAGCATGGACAACAGAGTGAGACGCTGTCTCTAAAAGAAAAATGAGATTGTAAGGGTCTTGAGATACTCAGGAGTATCTCAAGGTTGATTTTAGTTAAATAGGATAAACCAGTATGAGTTTCAAAATATCTGTCTACCTCTTTATCGCTTAGTCATTCCGTAAATGTTTTTGCTGAGTGTCTGTTACAGGGCAGGGCTATTCAAAACTGTGGGGATATATATAAATGGAAACAGTATAATCTTTGTCCTTATGAACCTGACATCTTAGCTGGGTGAAAGAAAGAATAAGAAAGGTGATAGGAAGAAATAGAAAGATCGATAATTCCGTGAAAAATTATACTTACTAAAATATAAAGTTTTTCAAAATCTGTGGGAACCCAGAATGGTTCTATATAACAGAGGTGCAACAAAAGATTAGTCCTGCTGCTGTAGGGTCTGAGTCCAGTTATATCTTCCCAAATGGATACTATTCGTTCACTGGGATGATGAGTTCTGTGGACCAGTCCCTGTCACCCAGGATCATAGGGCCTGAGTGATACATTCATGTCCTGCTGCTGACCGAGTGGAAACATTAAATGCTCATGTCATTTGGCTTCAGCATCCTACCTCACCATGGAGATCCCCCTGGGAGCCAAAGTTAGGTCACTGGGCTGCATGGTGAGGAAGAAAATAACTCGGAATAAGTTGTATGCCCTTAAGAAAGAAAGTGATCAAGGTATGTTCCTCCTCTCCGTCTCTAAGGGAATACCCATTGTCACCATTGCCCAAGCAGTCTGGTATTCCTGGAATCACTTGAGCATAAATTAGGCCATGTCTTTGGGTGCTGGCTTGTTGTCCCAAAGAAGGGCATTGGTCTGAGATGATGTACAGCCATGGTCTGTGTTGACACCCCTTTTCTACCTTGTAGCCCCAGAAAAATCTATAGGTTTTTCTATTTCTGCTGTGTATGGCAAGCTCTGTTTTAGTGAAAAGAAGACCTAAACTTCTGAACAGATTGAGGAATGAAAACGTTTACCATGGGCATTGGATTTTGTGACCTAGGATCTTAAAGAAACTCAGCCAGTGCTCAAAGGGCACGTGAAGCTCTCTCCTAGTACTGTTCTTAGCGACTGGCTTGAGCAATAAACCTGGGGAGAGTTGAGGAATGTGTATGTAATGGGCTGGAAAAAAAAAAAAAAACAAAAAAACGTTTAAAACCACCAAAGGTGCTGAGAGCAGGAGTTAGGTGGACCTTGTCAGCAGTGCTTGGTGTTTTCTTGCTGTGTCTGACTCATGTCATGCTTGTTCCTAGTCTTTCTTGTGCTGTTGCACTTTTCAGAGGTCTCTATGTTGTAAGTTCAGGTGATGATGCCTTGTGGTAGGTTAGCAAGGTTGACAGCAGTGAAGTGGACCGTCCTGGGCACAGTTCATAGTCTCGAGGTGCTGGGCTCAGTGGGATCTGAAACAGGAGGCCAGAGACGCTGTTCTGAGTGCCACTTGTTTCATTCTTTTCAAATAGACCCATATTTCATTTTACTGAAATTATTACTTCAACGTAAATTTAGTAACATTTGAGAAAAACACACTTTCCAGCCTGTAAAGATAGGTAACGTTTTATCCATCCATCCATCCAGATTGATGATTCTGAAGTGACTTCATTCATGAAGGCTGTTGGAGGGATTTTGCCTGTGGCCCCAAAGCGACAGTACACTTTTGGCAAAGGCGGGAGTGAGATAGTAAGAAAGAATGTTAGAAGCAAAATGGGAAACACTGTCGCTGTGTGCATAACTTAGTCACCTGCTCAACGTCTGTGCCTCAGAACAGCACCTTAGAATCAAGTAGCTCACTGTGTTCCGTCCTCCGCAGACCTTGAAGGACACAGAGGTGTGCCTGATGTAGATTGCTCTTCCTCGATGTGAACCTCCTGGCCGTGCCTGATGCTAGCGAGCTTATATAGTAACATGTGTGCAGACACCACTTATGAGGAATTTGGGGATGGATTTTATAACTGTGCCCCAAATGATGCCAACACTTTTGAAAAGAATGTAGAAATGTGTTTTAGAAGGGGACTCATGTTGTTCCAAAATAGTATATGGCACTCACCACTCAGTCCTTTTACATCATTTGAATTTAATTTAATTCTCACAATGATCCTTTGTAGGTTCCAGATAGGACAAGTGTCATTATATCCTCATTGTACAATTGAGAAGATGGAGTGGGGAAGTTGTAGGGCAGCTGCTGTGCCTCAAATTATAGGATTAAGGGGCTGAGCTGCGGGTTAAACCCAAGTCACTCGCCCTTGACTCTTGGTCTCCAAAGCACACACAACCACTCCCAGCCAGCCACTCCTAAGCATATTCCTCGAGTGAGAGCCACACTTCTGACTCTTTAGAGAAAGAATTTGATTTACATACCGTGTAGGGAAATTTTTATTGAGATGAATATAAAAATGCGAAGAGTTGAAAAGAAAATCTCAAAGTCTCCCTGCAGACTCAAGCCTGGAAGCCTATGTGCTTTAATTCTAATTAGGACTGATAAGACTCTGAACTCAGAGTAAGTTTCTTAAGAAATAGAGCTCCACACTGAGCATCTGCCCAGCAGGGTACAAGTTTGTTGGTCATCTGTCGTCTAAAAGCGTCTTTGTGTGACTGTGCCATATTAAGTTTCATCTTCGCACTTAAAATTTACACATCTAATTGGAAGGAAGGAAAATTTGGGTGCTTTCATTTATTACTGAGAAAATTATTTTTGCCATCTAAATAGCAAAAAATCCAATTTCTCTAGTTTATATTGTAACAGAATATGATCAAGCATAGGACTGCAAAGTTCTTAATTTGGACCCTTCCTATCACATTTCCAAGGGATGAGGTGCACTTCCAGGCTCGGGTGCCACCTTTACTGAGGTGCTGCATTCTGTCCTTGAACTGTTTGCTTGTTAGGAAACTCTCTGACTTAAACTTACCTCCCCCAAATGTGTCCCCGTACATCCCAGTTCTTCCTCTGTTGACATGTACCAGGGCTCCTTCCTGCTCTGTGTGTCAGTTGTTCTGATAATGAACACTGCATGGGACTCGACAGGTGAACGTTACATTTCATCCTGTTGATTTCCACACAGCATTCCAACCTGTGGAGGTAATTTGGAACTTCATTCAGGCACTGGTGTTAGCAGTTGTGCCGTCGGCTTTCAGTCATGTGTGTATTTTAATGTACATGGAACAGTGACCTGGCGGATGGTGGGTGCTGACAACTGGTCGGGGAGCGGAAGGTACAGACCAGTGCCACGTGCCTCAGAGGCAGGGGTCCGCACGCTTTCTCTGTCAAGGGCCAGACACTGACTCTGGTCAGCCTTGCAGGTCAGTCTCTTTTCGAACCACTCAACTGAATTCTGCCTTCGTAGCACGTGAACAGCCATCGACATCGGGCACCCAAGTGAACATGGCTGCCTTCCAGTGAAACTTCAGTTATGGACACTGAGATTTGAATTTTACATGTCATGGAATATTTCTCTTTTGATTTTTTTTTCAGCCATTAAAAATGTGAAAACCATTCTTAGCTCACAGACTGTACAAAAACAGGCCATGGGCCAGATTTGGCCCACAGGCTGAAGTTTGCCAACCCCTGTTCCTTGGGGTGGGTTTCTTGAGGGAGATTGGGGGGGAAAGTGGTCCAGAAATGGCAAAGAGGGATATGGGGGGTATGAGGGAAAAACCCACTATGCCATGTGAGAGGGCCGTAGGGAACAGTGTTCTTAGGTTTGGGGTTACAGCAAGGAAGCAAAAGGAATATTCTGTGAAGAGATTGAGACTATCGGGGATTTGGATGGTGGCTGGTTGTGAGTTCCCAGGGCTCAGAGGAAGATTGAGGGGGTTGGAGAAGGGCAGGAGATACGTCAGATTGGGGGACACACAGAGCCAGGTGAGGAGGTTAAGGCAGGATGGGATTAGTCCTGGTGGTCTCTTCAGGCAGTGATCTCAACCAGGGGTGATTTTGTCCCCCAGGGGACATCTGGACACACTTTTGATTGTCATAACTGGAGCAGAGGCATCTAGTAGGTAGAGTCTAGGATTGCTATTCTACAATGCATAGGAGGGCCCCTATTAAATAAAGAATTACCTGTTCTAAAATGTCAGTAGAGCTGAGCTGGAGACATTCTGCCTTTAGAAGGCAGGTAGCTGGTTGTAGTGTTCACCTCCTCCTTGGGATGAGGCTGAGGTGGGAAGTGTTTTGGCCATTGGA